CACTCTACTGAAGTATGATTGACATATTAAAAGTTGTACATAAACCCAACAACTATGTATAACTATAAAGCTCTAATTTTTTATTGAAAAGCTATACATAGCCAGGTATGGATGCACATGCCTGTAATCCCAGCAACTTGGGAGACGGAAACAGGAAGATTGTAAATTTGAGGCCAGTCTGGGAACTTAGTAAGATCCTGTCAGGAAATAAACAAAAAGGACTGGGGATGTGGCTCAGTGGTAGAGCATCCTGGGTTCAGTCTCCAGTACCACACACACACTAAGCTGTACATATTTCATGGGCACACGTCAATGAGTTTGGGCATAAGAATAGACCCATGAAACCATCATCATTACTAATGACACGAGTACATTTATTGTCTTCCAAGGTTTCCGCCTGGCCTTTTTATTATTGTTGTTATTGTAGGTATAGTTATGCAGTATTGTTAACCATGGACACTATGATAAATAGTTGATTTCCAGGATGTATTTATCTTGCATAACCATTCCCTTCAACCACCACTTCTCAATTTCTCCCTGTCACAAGTACTGGCAACCACCATCCTATTCTATGAGTGTGACCATTTTAGATTCCACTCATGAGATGATATAGTATTTGTATTTGACTTCACATAACCTCTGCTTTATGCATGATGTTATAAATGCCAGAATCCCCTCTTTTTAGAGGTTGAATAGTGTTCCATTATGTAAAAATACCACATTTTCTTTATTACTCACCTGTTAAGACATTGAGTTGATGCTATAACTTGGCTACTGTGAATAGCACTGCATTGAACATGGGAATGCTGATAAATCTTTAAAATCTTTATTCCAATTCTTTTGGCTGTGTACCCAGAAGTAATATTTCTGGATCATAAAGCACTTTCATTTTTAATTTTTTTGAGACACCTCCATACTGTTTTCCATAACATCTTCACCGATTTACATTGCTACCAACAGTGTACAAGAATCCCCTTCCTTTCATATAATCTTCAATACTTATCTTTTGTTTTTGTATTGTATTAAGTAGCCATCCTAATAGATGTGAGTCTATAACTCATTGTGGTTTTCATTTCCAAAATAACTTGTGGTGTTGAGCATCTGTTCTTGTATCCATTGGCCATGTCTACATCTTGAAAAAATATCTGTTCAGATCCTCTGTCTAGTTTTTCAATCACATTTTGCTTTTGCTTTTCTCTGTTTTGCTATTCAGTTTTATAAATTCCTGGTATATTTTGGATATTAATGCCTTATTGGATATATGGTTTGCAAATCTTTTCTCATTTCACAAGTTGCTATTTCATTTTATTGGTTATTTCCTTTGCTGTGCAGAAACTTTTTAGTCTGATGTAATCCCACTTGTTTATTTTTTCTGTTGTTGCTTGTGCTTTGGTGTCCTATCCAAAAACTCATTGCCAAGACCAACATCAAGGAACTCTTCCCCTGTGTTCTCTTCTAGGAGCTCTATAGTTTCAGATCTTAAATATTTAATCCGTTTTTTTTTTGTTGCTGCTGTTCTCTGTGTTTTTTTCCAATTCTTTTAAACATTTAATCCATTTGAGTTAATTTTTATTAATAGTATAGATAGTGGTATAGTTTTGTTCTCTGGCACATGGATATCCAGTTTCCCCAACACAATTGATTGATGAGATTCTCCTTTGTCATTTTGAAATCTTGGTGTCCTTCTTGAATATTGGTTGCCTGTATATACATAGGTTCATCTCTGAGCTCTTTGTTATGTTCCATTGGTCTATGTTAAAAATGTTTTTAATATTTAAATGTTTAAAGTTATGCCTAAGTGCATGCCACTACCATATTATTTTGATTGCTATAGATTTGTACTGTAATTTGAAATCAGGAAGTATGATGCTTCCAGCTTTTTTCTTCTTGCTCAGGGTTGCTTTGGTTAGTCAGGATCTTTTATGATTCCAGAAGAATTTTAGGATTTTTCTTCTATTTCTTGGAAAAAGTGCATTGGAATTTTGACAGGGATTGCACTGAATCTGTAGATTACTTTGGGTAGTGTGGATACTTTAACTATTAATTCTTGTGATCCATGAACATGAGATTTCTTTCTTTTTATTTATGTTTTCATAATTTCTTTCATCACTGTTTTTTAAAAATAGTTCTCAATGTACAGCCCTTTCATGTCTTTGGTTAAATTTATGCCTAAATATTTTATTCTAAGGGCCAAAGTTTGTCTGATAATGTCTATCAGAACCCTGTTAAAGTGTCTTTTAGTTGTTTCACTATGTAAAATGCTATACCTGTTCTAAATATTTAGAATGTTTCAAGACAATAGAAATTGAAAACTTCAGCAAATTGAGAAATTTGTCCAAATTCAATATAGTAACCATATTTTGTTGGCCAGGTAAGCTGTACCATATTTAAAGGTACAGTGCTTTGATTACCTCAACCTTGGCTTTCAAAGTTAATTTTAATTATCAAGGTTCCAGGAGACTTTAAAATGCATTTTAAGGTAAATAGATATGCTTTGCAACACTTTTATAATAGCAAAAAACTGGAAATGGCTGGGTCCAAATTAGTGGCAATGATGACAGTAATGGCAGCAGAAGCAGCAGTGTCAGCAGAAGTAGTAGGGGAAGCTCCAACCATCATGTTCATGCTTTTTATGAGGACAGCTCTGGGACCCAACGTGGGAGGCAGGTTCCCAGAACTTGTCCATGTGGCATTGTACATTAAGGGCAGGAACTTCTGGCACTCAGGCAAAATATTTTTTAAGTAAATTATCACAAAATAAAAGCAAACACATGGAGGATGCAATAAAGCATATCAGGGAGTTCCTAAGAATTCATCATAGTTTAAAAATCATCAGTTTTGAAAACGGCTACAGCATTACAAATCAAATATCCATGTATCCATGCTTAGAAATAAAAATGAAATTTAAATGGCATTGCATTTGACAAAAAAAAAAGAAAGAAAGAAACACTTTTCATGTGAAGCTTTGACTAAACCAAGAATTTTATTTTTACTTTGTCATTGAATGTATACCAATAGAATGCATAGGGAGTGTTTTGGTGTAGATACTAAGCATAAAGCCATATATAGATTCTTGCATAACCTCCACAAGTTACATGGGATGTCACAGGAAACATTAAAATGAATATTGAATAAATTTACATTTAAAAAGAAGTTCACACATGAAACTGACTCTTATTTTAGAAAAATTGTTCTATGGGACTTACCAGCTCTAAGTGTTATGAATTTTGAAATGATTATCAGAAATTTATCCAAATACTGTCACAGCCTGTAAATTCTCTTAATAATTCCAGCAACAGATGCATCTGCAAGGAAAAGTCTTTTCAAAATTAAAAATTGCCAAAAATTGTTGGTTATCTTGTATTTCCCAAGAGCAACTGACATCACTTTCAATTAGGTCAACTGAAAATGAAGTTGCAAAAAGTATTAATGGGGAAATACTAAATGAATTTGCAGAAAAGTGAGCCAGAAAAATCTTATGATTAATCAAAATATCATTATTATTCATTTTATTATAGAAAATTATGACACCAAAAGTGTTTTCTGCTGATTTGTAAGTTTGGGTTGTTGTGTCTCACTAGCACCCCTATTACATTTCATGGGTAATATTTTTAAAGGAAAATTTTACATTTTGGTAATTTTCATATTACATTTCCCTTGTTTTTTATCAGGGAGCCCCATATTTCCTTTTTTGCCCTGGGCCCTGCAAATTATGTAAGTAGCCTGCCAATATTATTTGGGGAAGGAAAATTTTCAAAGCTGTCAATAGCAATTGTGCACAGCAATCACACAAGAACTTCAGTTTTTCTCCTCTGAAACTTTACTTGTGGACTAACTTTCTAATAAATTGAAGCAATCATTGTTACTTCATTGGTTTAGCATTTTATTTCTGAAAAATCAAGGAAATTTTTTGCAGTTGGCAATATTATTTGGTCATCGGAAGAGTAGCCAACCTTGTTTGTCCCATCAATGTGTTTTTTGCACACATTCCTGTGAGTTATTTGCCAGGTGTTGAAGCTCCATGGAAAAATAAATATAATTTCTGTTGTAAATAATTCATTTAGAAAGACAAATGAAAAATAGTAAATTATAATACAGTACTTTAAGGGTGGCCACAAAAGTATGCACAGGTGATTACAGTGGTATCAGAAAGTAAAATGTAATTAACCCAATGGGATAGCTGGAAAGGTCCCTGCCAACATGTTTCAAGAATGTCTAGGATGGAATGAACTTGCATTCTTATTGGAATTCTTTTGTTTGTATGCGTAAATGTGGAGCAGAGAGTCTACTGCCTGACATCAGATACCCACCAGCCCTGCCACCAGTACAAATGTTGCTGAATGGGATTGGCTCTCTTCCTTCCTTCCCTAGACGTGGCTCAAGAGCCTGTTTCTGCCTAGCCTCAACGTTCTCATTCCCACATCTCAGCCTGTCTATTGGTTTATATTTTTTCAAAATAATTGGAATTAATTTTGTATTCTGTTTTAAGGGTAAATGTTATATCTATTTATTCATTTAATAATAGTAACTGAGTGTTCAGTAAACTCAGAAACCTAGTTTCTTCCCTCATGGAGCTTATGTTCTAGTTATATATTTTATTTTTCAATCAATGTGACAATAGCTGATTTTTAAAAATTAGAATTATGGATTTTACTATAATAATAGAACGTATCTGAGGTTGGGAGCACAGCTCAGTGGTAGAATATTAGCATGTTCAAAGCCCTGAGTTCAATCTCTAGCACTGTAGGAAAAAAAAAAAAGAATAAAGAAAAAGAATCTTTGTAACAGAGCAGCCTTTTATAGTTAACAAGATTATAGCTAGCTTTTCTGATTTGCAGTTTCATTAAAGACCAGCTTATTCCATTACTTCATATAATTAAAATGTAGTTTTAAAAAAGCTTGTTCCACTTGAGTTTAGCTAATTTTACTATTTTTCATTAATTTTACTTAATAAGCAAAGAAACTTATAAATAACTGAATATGGAATGATTTTATTTCAGAGTTGAGAAAATGGGAGATAGTTCCACAGACACAGAAAAAGAAGAGGAAGAGGAAGAGGAAGAGGAGGATGAAAAAGTTCAAAAAGACCTCACCTATGCCATAGTGCCCACAATTAACATTCAAGATGAGCGGTTCGTGGATTTGTCTGAAACTCCAGCTTTCATTTGTCTGAATGAGGTATATTCCCTTTGCATAATTATTACTATAATACAATCTGAATCATCATCTACTTAAAAATTCAGATGAAGTAAAAAAAAAAGGTTTTTTTGTTTTGTTTTGTTTTGTGTGTGTGTGTGTGTGTGTGTATCCTGGAGATTAAACCTAGGGTCTTCAGCACACTATTCAAGTGCTCAAACACTGAGCTATTCTCTCAGCCCCTCATCAAAATTTTTTATTACATATATCCTATAGACAATGTATACAGTTTGAAGTTCTCTAAAACAAAATGGGTCCTGATTTTTCATCTGAAGAGCTTGTCATATAGTTCTGGACTAGTGCAGTAGTATAGGATTTGATATTTATAAAGCACAAAAAGTATTTTTCATATATGTAGTTGGTTAAGTACATTTTATAGATTGATACATGAAATAAAAATATTTAATTATATATAAAATTTACTTTCATGCAATGAAGATAAAAGATCTTGTCATAAAATAATAGAAAATTATTAACCTGATTAAATGTAGTTACTGAAGTAGAACACTGACATCTGCTTCCTATCTGCAAAGAAGCAAAAAGGTGGGTATGACCAATTACATATTCTTATTTTCTGATTTTTGTAAAGCGAAAGGAAATACCCATGTATGAGAAGAGTTGGATTTAAAAAAATTAACTGAACACATAGAGAACTGTTAATTTCGTCATGCCTGTGAGCTATGATTAAAAAAAAAAAAAAAGAAAAAGAAGAAGTTGTTTAGAGGACATCTGAATTCCTGACTATTAACTTTAAGTATTTTGCATTAGCTTTCTGTCACTGTGACAAAATGCCTGACATGCACACCCTAAAGGAATAAAGATTTATTTTGGCTCAGTTTCATGGGTTTCAGTTCATGGTTGGCTACGGGCCTGTAAAGAGGCATAGTATCATAGTGGGGAGGGATAGTGGAATAGAGCTGCTCACCTAATGGTAGCCAGAAAGCAGACAAAGAGAAAGGGTTCAGGGACAAAATTACCCTTCAAAGGCATGCCCTCAGTGTGACCTACTTCTTTTCAAGCCCACATTCTAATAGTCAATTCAGCTATGAAATCATCAATGGATTAATACATTGATAGAGTTAGCACCTTGATGATACAGTCACTTCCTAAAAGTCCTACCTCTGAATACTGCTGCATTGGGGACCAAATCTTCAAAACATGAACCTTTTGGGGATGCTGCTGCACTGGAGACCAAATTAATAAACATAATTCATAAACATAATTAATAAACATAATTCAGATCTAAACCTTAACAACAGGACAAGAGATTTACAAGCACAGTAAAAATAAGCTTAAGAATTCTTAAAGCAGTAATGCAGTTTATTCAAAACCAGGAAGCAAAAGCCAAAGGGGAATAAAATGCAATGAAAAAGTAATTTAAAAAATGATAGTGGGGTGTGTGTGTGTGTGTGTGTGTGTGTGTGTAGGATCTAAATTAGTAAATTGTTTACTTTTTCTATAGTTTTTATTCTCTTATTCTGACATAATTTCAGCCATACAGAAATTGCAAGATAGTACAAAGAATTCCTACGGTACTTCATTCAAATCCCCAATGTTAACATCTTACTGCATTTACTTTATCCTTTTTTTTTCTTCTTTCGTTGTCAATTTTCCCTCCCTTTGAAGATGCCCTTTTATAACTAAATACACCATTGTGTCTTCTAAAAATAAGTTCATTCTTTTCCATAGTGCAATTATATAAAAAATCAATATTGCTACAATACTGTTATCTAACCTACAGACCTTATACAGATCTCAATGTTCTTTTTTTTTTTTTGGTGGGGGGCGTGGGTACTGGGGATTGAACTCAGTGGCACTCAACCACTGAGCCACATCCTCAGCCCTATTTTGTATTTTATTTAGAGACAGGGTCTCACTGAGTTGCTTAGTACCTTGCTTTTGCTGAGGCTGGCTTTGAACTCACAATCCTCCTACCTCAGCCTCCTGAGCCTATGGGACTACAGGCGTATGCCACCGTGCCCAGCTCAGTATGTTCTTTATATCAAAAGAAACTCCCATATTAGACACTGCATTCAATAGTCACCTCTTTAGTCTCCTTTAATCTGGAATAGCTCTTTAGAATTTTTTAAATGTTCATAATATTGACACTGTTAAACAGTAGAGGCCAGTTATTATGTAGAAATTCTTTCAATTTAGATTTGTCTGATGTTCTTATCATCAGATTAAAGTATGTATTTTGGGCAGGATCATCAGACATGTTATTTTCTTCTCCTGTATCTCATAGCAGACACAGGATGTTGATTTGTTCCATTACTATTCTTGTTAACCTCTATCACTTGGCTTAAGGTGGTGACTTCCAAGTTTCTTCTCTATTTATTACCATTATTTTTATGTTTGAAACTAATAAACACTTAATGGGGAGGTATCTGAGATTATGGATGTATATTACCCAAAATCTTTTTACTTATTAGGTTGGCGTCTATTGATGATTCTTGCCAAATGGTGAATTTTTTTTTCCCAGTGCAGAGAATCAAACCCATATTTGGCAAGAATTCTAGCACTGAGCCACATCCCCAGCCCAAATGTTTTGTTGTCATTATTGAGATGGGTCTCAGTGTGTTTCCTGGGCTGGTCTCAAGCCCTGTTATTGAGAGATCCTCCACCCCAGCCTTCCAAGTGCTGGGACTACAGAAGCAAGCCACTACCTTCAGCTCCTTCTACAATTGTTTTAGGTGGCTTCCTACTCTAAGGAAGAATTTTTTCACTTTCCAATTTATATATCTGACTATTTAGCAGTATGGACTTATGGATTTTTATTTTATTTAGTGGGTTATAGTCCCTTATTGCTATTATCCATTTTTATTCTTTAATTATTCCTGATTTGGCCAGTATGCATGTCTTCAGGTAGGCTCATTTGTCCTTTGAAACTGCTGTCATAATTCCTTGTGCAATTCCTTACTTTTGGGTACAAGAATGTGTTTTAGGCTCTTTTTGTATCTTCTTTGCTCCAGCATTCAAATCAGCCATTTCTTGGAGAATCTGTAGTTTCTTTAGTGAAGAATAATATTTGAAAACTAAGATCCTAATGCTGGTTATGGTCATTACTACTGGTATGTCATTGATTCTAGGCCCTCTAAGTGGACAGAGTTAGAAACAGGTACATGAATATTTGCATCTACACAAATTTATATCAATTTCTATGTGTACTTTTACATATTTAAAACCATGTACTTATACATGATCATGGCTCTCTGTTTCTGCTAAAACACATCATGTGTCCAATTTGCAATAAAATTTCTATCCTTAATAATTCTGTTAATACTAAGGCTAAACTTTTGTCATAAATTAATTTAACATTGCTACCGAAGAGTTTTTAACAATGTACTTATGATCATCCATTTTCAAGTCTGTCATAAGTTGTTTGAATTCCAGTCCCTTATGACCTTGTTAAATCATCCCCTCCCCATGTGGTTGAGATACAGCCCACTTGTTCCTCATCTCACTGGTCCCAAACCTAACACACAGCTGCTAACCATGATAAAACTTAATGGTCAACACCAGAACATTATAAGTAAATTCCTCCCCTCTTCACATGTGTTTTCTTTAAACCAGACAATTCACAACCCCTGCAGGAATATCTAAGGGATAAGGCCCATGAACCTTAATTAAGGCACAGATAGGTCCTCTCTTATTTGCTCCTATATGTTGGTTGAGCTCCTCCAGACTTCTCATCAGGCACCCTCCATTACCATCCCTAAACTCTCTGGTATATGTAATACATTTCTTCTGTTTCATGTATTTGTTTCACCTCTTCATTAGTGTCTCATTTAACTGACACACCCATGTCTAACTTCCTCCCTACATCTTGCTCCCCAGGTCAGGTCTCTTCTAAATAGTGGCTGTTGTGGCTCATGGCTACTCTCGGCAGAGAGATCTCAATACCAATTTAGGCAGAAATCATAACAAGAAATAAAACATCACAACTTAAGCTTATTTATTTCTAGCAAATTTATGCTAAGAGTAAAAATTATATAATCATGTTTTTTTAAGCCAAAAATGAATCACAAAAGGTGATTTATTTTTGGCTTAAAAAAGCAAAAATGAAAACCACAGGAGAATTTAGGACGATTTGTTTGTGTTTATCTTCAATCGAACAACTTATTAAGTATTTCAAAAAACTTTCAATACACATGCATGAACAAAGTATAGTTATTTAACATTGGATATAATGAGTCTGAGCAAATGGATACACAAGAGATTTCAATAATGGTGTCAAAGAAATGACTTATCCACTCTTATGCATAATATCAACATTAACAATTTTGCTGCATATGAACTGTTTCTCAAACCTGTTGAGATCTTACAAAATAAATTATTAGCATTAGACAACTATTTTGCATAATAAACACCACTAAGGGACTGCGAGTGTTCCTCAGTTGTAGAGGAACTTGCCTGGCATGCATGAGATCCTGGCTTCTATCCCTGGCACCACACACACACACACAAAAAAAAAAAAAAAAAAAAAAAAAAAAAACCAAAGTCGTAGTTGAGCTTTGGCACCTGTAGCTTTGTTTTTCTAATTCTTATAACATTTCTCTTAAGATTTAAGGGGGATCTTAAAGTTTTTAACCATCTTTGTATAAAGTTGTTGTTATAGTTTAAATATTAGGAGTCCCCCAAAAGCTCATGTATGAGACCATGCAAGAAGGTCTAGAGGTAAAATGATTGAGTTATGAGAGCTTTTACCCAATCAGTGATTTAATCCCCTAGCAGGGATTAACTGAGTGGTAACTGCATGCTTGTAGGTTGCAGCTGGAGGAGGTGGGTCACTGGGGTGCGTGCCTTTGGAGTATATATTTGGTGAGCTGAGCCTAGGCTCTCTCTGCTTCCTGATCATCATGTGAGCCACTTCCCTTCACTATACTCTTCTGCCTTGAAATCCTGCCTCACCTTGAGCCCTAAGGAATGGAGCAAGCTGTCGGTGGCCTGAGACCTCCAACATAAAACTGTGAGCTCCAACA